TATAATTATAATATTATAATAAGATTTTTAGGAATATCTTTTCATCCACTTTTGCGAAGTCAATCACATCGTTCAAAAATATGAACCGATGTGCAGAACATATATTTTTCGATAGCGATGAAAAATGTCTTGATACACAAAGGAGAGGAAAGAAAATTAACGTGTACCCCTGCAAGAGAAATGAATTATTAATCCATATTTACTGTGAAACACAGATCACATGTCGTTGGGAGGACTCGGCGACAGCTTCTACGAATATCTGCTGAAAGCTTGGCTCCAATCCGGCAAGGAAGACGTCGAGGCGCGTCAAATGTACGACGAGGCGATCGCTGCCATAGATCAACACATGATCAAGATATCGCCGGGCAAGCTGCTCTACGTGTCCGACCTGAAGTACGACAGGCCGGACCATAAAATGGGGCATCTCGCATGTTTCGCTGGTGAGTTTTACAACGAAGCAGACATCCCCTGTTCTCCTGTAATTTAACTTCTGCTAATAATCCTCTAATAATAGATAATAATTAATGATAATCCTCTTCTAATTTATTTTCACGTTAGCGGGACTCTCCGTCCATTACGCCAGTTTTCATTATTTTAAGGAGTATTATATTATATATAATACTAACTATATATTACTATATTATATATGTACTATAACTATATATTACTATTACTATATATTACTATAACTATATATTACTATTACTATATATTACTATAACTATATATTACTATTACTATATATTACTATACTACTATATATTACTATATAACTATATATTATATATGTAATATATAGTTATAGTAATATATATATATAATTAATATATAATTAATTAATAATATATATAATATAAATAATTAATATAATATATATTTATTAGTATATATATATTATATTATATATAATATATAGTTATAGTATATATATATATATTATTTCTCACGCTATAGCAGCGTGCAAAAATTGACTCTGCAACTTTACAGAAGTTGCGTAGATCGCACTTCTGTTATCACGAGTTAAAAACAGACGACGTTCGTTTGTCGGAAGGCTTGACATTCACGAATTAGTCTTACGAACAGTTCGATCCAGGAAGAATGTCTGTTTCTTTCTAGGTGGCATGTTCGCGCTGGGCGCCAAAACCATGGAGAACGATCTGTCCGACAGATATATGACGGTGGCCGCTGGTTTGACCAACACGTGCCACGAATCCTACGATCGAAGCGTGACCAAACTCGGCCCGGAAGCTTTCCACTTCATCGAGGGTAACGAAGCGAAAAGTTTAAAGAACGGCGAGAAATACTACATCCTTCGGCCAGAAGTAAGTGCTGTAATCAAACAGATAGAGAGAGAGAGAGAGAGAGAAAGAGAGAGAGAGAGAGAGAGAGAGACGTGATAAATCAAAATATACAAATAATATAGAGACATACAAACATAGAAACAAACGCACAAACTATTTTTCTTATTCGATTTCATTTAAAATATGATTATCATAGTCAAACGATTTAATCAGAAAAATAAGCAACGCTTCGTTTTGTTTCTTTACAGAAATAATTGTTTTTCTAATTAAATTTCATTGTATCTTAAACGTAAGATCGCAGTCAAGGAGCTAAATCAATGAAAGCAAAACTTTCTGCTTCGTATTATTTTAAATATTGCATTTGTTAGCAGTGTTGCATATTTGGTGCACTTCACCATCTTTTTAAATTACTTCTTTATTATGTTAGTTTTATTATGTTAATTTCATTGTATCTTAAACGTAAGATCGTAGTCAAGGAGCTAAATCAATAAAAGCAAAACTTTCTGCTTCGTATTAATTTAAATATTGCATTTATTAGCATTTTTAAATTACTTCTTTATTATGTTAGTTTAAAATTGTTTCCAACCAAAGTGCAAATGTGTGATTAATTTGTAAAAATAACATGAAAATAACAAAATCAATATATTTCAATATATATTAGTATATCAATATATTTCAAGACTTTTCTCTAATATTTTGTCTTCAATCTCACTGAAACAGTTGAATGAAAAGTTTATAAAATTTCGATGTACGTTTAGCCCTCCTTGACACGAACAAGCTTATGATAATTTAATATTCATCCGATCACTGTCAACGAACGAATACGAAGCACCCTAAATGCTCGTTGAATGGCAGGAGGAGAAACGAAACAATCAAATCGCCTCTCTACTCCCCCCTCCCCCCTACCCGCCAAATGAAAGCTTAAATAGTCATTCCACCCTTTCCGCGACATCCGTCGGATAAACACCGGGCTGCTCGCCAAATTCCGAGGTAAAATATTTTCTTTTCAGACCTTCGAATCGTATTTCGTGATGTGGCGGCTGACAAAGGACCAGAAATACCGGGAGTGGGGATGGGAAGCGGTCCAAGCGTTAGAGAAATATTGTCGTGTTCCTGGAGGCTTCACCGGGCTTCACAATGTTTACTTGATTGATCCGCCGCAGGACGATGTTCAACAAAGCTACTTCTTCGCCGAGACGCTCAAGGTAGCCATTAAATCGACTTTACAACTGTAGTTCCGTCCACAATTTTATTTGCGAATCTTTTAGGAACGCCGAACTCATTCATTTCCTTTCGACCGTTTTAATCTCGTTGCTTCGATGCTTCCAATTAGAGCGAACGACTCTTATAGATCTTGCGACTCGATTGACATCGACTTCCTGATTTTGATCGATCGCTTTTCCCTATAAGACAAATTGCTCAAGGGTTATTTTTATTATTCAGTTATTTTTATTATATTTTTTGCAGTAACTAAAAAAGGCTCGGTAATCGACACCCTGTACAGTAATGTTTCCCTTACTGACGCTCGGATTGTCCATAAAAATGGACGATTTTTGGAAGAGAAGATACGATTGTTCGAGCCTTGTTGCTCGTTTTTTATGGCTATCGATTGTCAATAACTATAAAAACGAGTCGCAAGGTTCGAATAATCGTGTCTCCACTTCCCAAATTGTCCATTTCTGTGCACAACCTGAGCGTCAGTAAGGGAGACATTACTGTAATTAACGTTTTATTTTCGAAGGACACAGTAACTCGCTCTAAAAATTGTTTCGCATGCTTTCGTCGAATATTTTATGTTCTTTATATATTTAAATCGTGACAAAATTCGTACTTGCATAAAAAGAAAACATTTACGCGTAATTTAACACTTTATCGACCGCTAGCCTATTTATCGGCTTTTCGATTACCAATGTTTATCGATCGCTAGTCTATTAATCGGCTTTTCGATTGCCAATGTTTATCGATCGCTAGCCTATTAATCGGCTTTTCGATTGCCAATGCTTATCGACCGATAGCCTATTAATCGACTTTTAGCTATCGACGGTTTTCGCTTCTTTACTGTTTTGTTAGTAGCTGACCTCCTGTATGCTGACCTCCCCATATCCTTATGAATTATAATTATAATAATTATTATTATTTATTATTATTTTTAAAGGAATAAGCACAACACAATGAATAGCGAAAATTTAGCCGGTACTGGGAGCAAATGCGCGCGCGACTAAGCCAGTCCTTACTGAGTGGCAGCCTCAACCACGACCGGACGATAAAGTGTTAAATGTTTTATGAAATGCGATATAGGTAAAAGGCTTATTTAATTCGTCGAGAACTTCGGACGTTACTATGGGCACAGTAATTGAGCCGTTTATTTTGAAAGTGGCATAAGTCACTTTGTTTTTAAGTCGATATATTTAAGGCTTTCCGTTTTAACCCTTTTAGTGCCATGCGAACGGCCGAATTTCACGGTTTTACTAGGGTTTGGGAAAATGCTCGTAAAGACCAAACGAGAAACAATATTTACATGATTCAAAAAGCAGTAAATTAAGGACGAAATAGAGAACAAAACGATGACACTAGATTTTCTATATTCATTGAAAATTATATAAATAACAAAGGTATAAAAGATCACAAAGAAAGTAAAAGTCCAGTTCTCTCTTACAAAACGTATTTGCACATACAAAAAGTCATCTTTTCATCATAATTTTATATAGATCATTTATTACAAAGTATATACTTTGCATTTCTGATATATTTTGTAACAAGATAAATGATATTACATAACAAACATAAAAAATAACTCGAAGGTACATGGTAAGCGCCGGACGGATCATCTCTTCCGAAATATATAATTGTTATAGGTAATATAACATTGCTGAAACAAAATTATGTTGTCATAAATATATTTGTGATATAATTTTGCATAATACTTCATTATAGTAACATAAATATTTTTATTTATATTTATATATCGTAAATGTGTAAAATTTTGTTATTATAAAGCGCTATAAGGCGCGGGCCGAT